TATTTGCAGAGCCAGTCTTATCAGTACTGTACTTGATGAAAACAGTTTCTCCTAAGTGTTAAAAATACCATCATGAAAACATATAGCCACAGTGCCATACAAGTAGAAACTGCTTGATTGGAACACCCACACAGAGTTTTGCAATTAAAGATGATGTCTTGGAAAATTTAAAAAATAGAATGGACTCTGAAAATGAAAGAAAACTGTGCTGAGTAAAACCATGGCACCAAAGTATGAGGGCCTACACTTATAATGGTATAAACCAATATAAATGAGGTGTAGACCATAACACACAGCTCTACATCAGTGGTTCTCAACCTTTATAGACTCAAGGCATGCCTCAGAAAATGCCTGCTCTCTGGCCCTGTGCCTCTGGGGTCATGGAAAACCCTAACTCCTGTAACCACCATATTTCTCCCACAGAAGTCTGCACTCTGAAGCACTCCCACTGAAGCAGAGGGGACAAAATATAGAGAGCACAGACGAGGGGCAGAACCAGTGGATCCACAATTACATGGTAACCACTGCCACAGTGGCCTTAGGATACAGAGTAAGCTAAATTCATTTGTTTTTTACTACTAAAAATAATAGAGCAGTTCTTTTACAAAGAATGCAGAAAGACCACAACAAGTCAGAATATTTTTGACACTCTGGGATTCTATTTGAAATCTCTGGGTTTATCTTATGAATAATGTGTAGATGTTTGCATACCTAACAACACTTATATTGAGTGGCACCTTTAAAAGGATCGCACAACACCTCAGGGTGCTCTGTCACTCCCATTAAGAAGTACTGTTTTATACCAATGCAATTACTAAAGGCTGGTGTAGAGCACCACTTACTTTTTTGGCTAGGGACAGACATTCAAAGAACCCTGAGCCTGAATTGATTCAATCTTTGCAGGTTAGTCTAACCTCGCTAGGCTGAACTGGTTTTGAAACCAGACAGACATCCCAGAAATGCAGGCACATGCCTGCAGTGGCTCAGGCTAGAAGCTGGGGGGCACTAACGCAGCTCTCCTTTTCTGATCACTTAAACCAGTTTATGTGTAATGTCTGTCCCTAGCCTTCCAGGTTAAAAATTACATCCCTTTAAGTTACATCAGTGTAGGTTTTGCATGTCCTTTTTTGCCTGGGATAGCTGTTTGATCATTTAAACATGATTATTATTGACTCTTTGCCACCTAGTTGCAAGGTATTATATAATAGTGCCCACAGCAACAGCTACCCGCTAAGAGCCAGTCATCAGTCTCTGAATACTGGTGTAACTTAGATTAGTATACAAAAACAAAGTGAGTTATACTAGAGTTAAAATGTGTGCTGAACCTGTAGTAGCATTTCATCTCTGTACTTTGTTCTTTGTGACCTTTAGCACAATCTTTTTTGCTCGAGGCGCTCCTCTGTGCCTCCTTTTCCCCTCCCCCACTCCTTTTTCTGCCTTTGTGCGGCATCTAGCATGGTGAATCTTGGCTGAGATCTCTAGGATACTCCTGTAATTGTTAGCTGTGTTAGCCTGAAGTCAGGCAGAAGGTAGCATTTGACAAAACATCAGATGTATTTCATAGCATCTGATGAATTAGATTGTTGCTTACTAAAGTTCATGCCTCTCTGCAGGGCCATCCATCTCCGGGGGGTGAAAATCGTGGTGACTGCCCCAGGCCCCACGCTTTGGGGGCCCTGTGGAGCCGGGCAGAGCAGCACGGTGCCTCCGCGCTGCCGCTGGCTTCGCGTCCGGCTGCTCTGCACCCCCTGCTGCTGAATTCGCCACTGGCTTCCTCGTGTCCGGGGGCGGGACCCCACACAAGCTGATTTGCCCCAGGTTCTGCACCCTGCTCAGGCCATCTCTGCCTCTCTGAACCACTTAGTCTGTCTATGCCACCCTGACCTTCTGTCTGTAATGTTACTGATGGGTCTAGACTTAGATACACACATCTCTTCCTGCCTTGGGTGCACAATCTAAGGAATTAAACTGTGCGCTATAAGCTTTGTAGCATCTTTTTTTCCCAGGGCCATTCTGCAACTTACTCTGTATCCTAAGACCATTCTGGCAGTACCATGTAATTGTGGATCCACTGATTCTGCCCCCCTCTATGCTCTTTATATTTTATCCCCTCTGCTTCAGAGTGCAGACTTCTGTGGGAGAAATATGGTGGTTACAGGAGTTAGGGTTTTCCATAACCACAGAGGCACAAGGCATGATTTAGCTTTTAATCTTCCCTTCCAAACATTTTAAATAACACTTGACTACTTGGTAGCAACCAAAATACATCTGTTATTATATGAAACATGAGTATCATCACAATTTTAAGGATCAGTCATTATGGCTACAATCATTAAGTGAGAGAGGGCATCCTAACAAAAGAGTTGTCACAAATTGTGCTGAGCAGTGTGTTCGGGACTATCAAGCTTACATATTGTGAAAACTATGCAGTGGGCTGCATGACTGCATAGCAGTGGCCTGCACAACTGCAGCATGAGAGGGGGAAAGAGGATCTTTGTCTGGGGGAGAGGATTTGGGTGTATTTTCTGGCCCTAAAGGCAAATCTTGACTTTTGTCTTAGTTATTTTAACTATCTCAGTGTTCAAAGCTTTCAAATGCAGAGTCCCAGAGAGAACAAGAACCAAGAGTGAAAATGCAGAGTCCCAGAGAGGTTAAGAAAGGTAGAACAAAACAAGGATATCAATAAGTGATGGGAAGACATAGCTGAATGCAATACCAAAAGTGAAGAAGAGGTTGTGCATGCGTCATCATGACAGAAGCCAGGCATTCAAAGACAAAGATGAAGTGGAGTGATGAGGTACAGGCAATGCCAGGGAAAAGGAAGAAAAGATGCAAGTTATTGCAGAAGACTAAAGAGCAACAGGATTATGAGAAATATGAAACAGCCAAGAAGGAGACCAAGGAAGTAGTGGTAGAGGCAAAAAGCAAAGCACCCTAGAAAAGTTGTAAAATAGACTGCAAACAAAGAAAGGTGAAAAAGACATATGCTGACTGGCAGGGGCTTGAGAGGCTAACCAAAGATATTGGGGACATATAGGGAGGCAGGATATTGACAAAGCCAGGACAGATCAAGGGCAAGTGGAGGAATCATTCTGAGAGACTCTTCATGAAGAGAACCCAAGCAGGGTGTAGAAAAGTTCTAGTAAATCAAGTCTTGGTTGAATCAATAACAGAGAGAGAAGTAGCAGATGCCCTTGGTAAGATGAAAAATTGTCTAGCTGTAGGACTGGAGAGAATATAGACATGGAAAGCATCAGGGTGCAAAGCTGTAAGTAATCTCAAAAAATTATTTAATAAGACCATGTTATGCAAGACAATACCAGTGGCGTGGAGAAGGAACTTTATGGTGCTTGTGACAAAATCCTAGGGTGTCAGGATGCTCCCAGACGCACACCATGGTATGATATGGAGCAAGGGCTCCTGTTACTTTAAGAGAAAAGGTGAACGCAGAGAAGCAAGTACCACAAAGTGTAAAGGGCAATAAGGGTCATCCCATTGTAGGCAACAGGGCCTGAGGCTGTGGATTCATGGTAATTAGCAGCACCTGGGCTGGTTACCCGGGAGTCAGATTGGGTGACCAGAAGCAGTAGGACAGGGGTGGGCAAAAGATGGCCCGTGGGCCGCATCTGGCCCTCCAGCTGATTGGATCCAGCCTACAGGCAGGCACTCACAAATTAACTGTATTCAGGCAGCTGCCCCTGCTGTGCTCTGCTTGGGGCTGAGTCCTGCCTGAGGTCGAGTGTGCTGTGCTCCCAGCCTTCCCTGTTGGCAGGCACAGCTCTGAGCAGGGCTCCTGCTGCTGCCACTGCCCAGAGAACTGCTGGGCTCCCCCAGCAATTCAGGAAAGGGCAGGAAAGCAGTTGCCACTGCCAGCAACAACAGAAGCCCCTGGGAGGGGAGGGGGGACAGCTGGTATCACCAGCTCTCTTAGTCTCCATCTCACACTTGCCTGGTGGGCTGCAGCCGAGCCTGCACCGGCTCCAGCTGCTGCTGCTGGTTTCTCTCTCACCTGCCTGTATGGTGAGGCTGCACCAAGTGTACGTGGGCTCCTCCTGTCTGTCCCTCCCTGCCTCATCAGGGCTTTGTGAGCAGCCGAGCTCCTTCACACCCCACTATCCTTCTCCATCCACACATGCTCCCCTGCCTCGCATGAGCAGGACCAGACTGAGGTGAGCCCATCCCGCTCTCCTGAATGCTGCAGTTTCCCCGCCCTACCTGCTGCCTGGAGCAGAAGAGGACGGGGACACTGGATCTTAATTCTGTGTATCCTAGCCCTACTTCAGATTAGTTACAACAGAAAAATCTCTGCTACTACAGGAAGAGTTCATAGTCAACCCCCATGAGCTCGTTGAGCCTTCTGACTGGTTGAGGGTCCTTCTGGGTCTTCCTATGAGACAAACAGATGCAGGCCACTCAGCAAAACTGATGCAGTCTTGCACTGTGAAAGCAATATGGATAGGAAATTGCTCCCTTTTAAGTTGGACCTTGCATCCATTTCTTTTTCAGTTGCATTGATGCTGTTGCTATGGCTGTTACCATTCAGGAAGGTGAAGTGGCAGTTTTCATTAAGAGTCTTAGAAACTGGCTCGATTTCCCAACCTCCCTTCACCCCCACAATTTCCATCTCCATTGCAATGCACAGCACTTAATGCATCTCTGGTGTGCTGACGTATGCAGAGTAAGCCAATTAAGCTAAAGGAAAGATGCATTTAGTTTACATCAAAATGGCCACACCATTCAGCTGTGAGTAACATTCCTCCATTATTGAGCACAAAAAAAAAGATTCCTACCACAACACCTGTCCCTGTTGCCCTAGCAACAGCTGCAGACATAATTACAGCTGAATGAGTAAGAGTTTCACAAGCAATTGGAGTACTTTCCATAGGCCTTGCAGATCTCATCATACCAGGAAGGACTGTGTGTGCAGGACTGGGTATGATCAAAGGCCGGTAGTGAGTCATCTCAAATCCAATAAATGATCATTAGTTGGAACGGGGGAAAGAGGTAATTAGACGGGCCTGACTATCTAGCAGTTATGTTGGCAAGACTAATGGGGTGGTACTACTGCCACTGAAGACTTCATTTGCTTAGAGTGACTCATTGAGTATGGATGACAAATTATACACTGGAAAACCTGCTTGTCCTTTTTGATGGCATTTAATATTCAAAGTCCAGTACTGTGTGTCCATGCAACAGAAAGCAGCCATGTGACTAACGATACAATCACCCAGGTGAGCACTCCCTTTACTTTCAATCTTATGCAGAAGAAGCCTGCTCATAGACTGAAACTGGCCATGGTGGTGCTGCTACTGCTAATAACAATGCAAACTTCTTACATGGCCTGCATCAGAAACTGGAGGAGATACGACTCTGGGGACAAGAAAGTCAGCAGTGAGGGTCAGAAGGTCTGAAAACAGCCCCCAAATTATCAGATCCCTGTAGCACTAGGGAGGAAATTCACACCGTCAGCCTGATTCCTAGCTTTGTGACTGTCCTTAGCTTTATAATAAGGTAGAGTGAAATCTTAGATCCCAGTGGCTCTAAAACTTGAGGTGTTCAAGCTCTCTATCCAAATCTGAATCTTGAAGCTGAACTGGGTCTATCTTTTACTTAAGGAATGACTGATAAGTGAACCCCTGAAGTTCTTATTTAAATGACCGATGTATTTGTACTGATGTATTCATTTGGAAATCACAAGAGAAATTATTTTCTTACATGGCTTCTAGATCTTCTGCCTACAGGTAGGCTAGGATTTGGAAATGGGGGCAATGAAAAAATAAGTGGCAGCAAAAAATAGTTACATGATTTTTTTTAACCTTTTTTTGTTTAAACAAAAAAAATCCTGTTATAGTTTTAGGTGCAGTTTCAAGCTTGTTCCTATTTTACCCAAACTGGTTTCCTTATCTCTGATTAAACAAACTTGGTTGTATTTTGTTTGCCCTTGAAAGGCTTGGTCTAAAAAGCATCCACTAAAGAACCACTTAGTGCAGGGAATATAAACAATGCTGAGGCTTGTTGGTTATTTCCTTTATGTGTGCTTTTAAGAGAGAATTTGATTACAGCGCTTGAAATTTTTTCTTTTATTGTAGCTCTACATAAGAAAACAATTATGGAGACAGTTGCCCTGATTTTCCCATTGATTCCAATGGTGTGACACTAATTTACACCTTCCTAAGAATCTGGCCCAGTAGTAATGAATATTGTAAGGAGTCTTGGTTTGTGTACGTTTTAATGTGGCAAGGTTATATCTCTTGTAATATTTAGCTCAGGTTCCACTTTCCATATTCAAAGCAGCACATATAGGGCTGGATTATTTCCACTCCTTGCATAAGGAGGAAGGTGCAAGGAGCCCCTGTACATATGTTCAAAGGAGTGCATGTACTGTTCCCAGTTGGATTCATCTCACCTGCAAAAGGACAGATATGAAACCATAGCCCTGGCCTTCGGCTCCAGAGAGCACAGGCTACACCAAAGTAGTCAAGTTCTACATGCTGGATGAGACTAGGAGACAGAAGTCAACTTTTAGGTGGAAAAGTTCTGCCTGGGCGAGTGGTGAAATACATCTGTCCCTTACTAATCACTCTCTGTTTCCCTTCCTACCTTAAAGTAGGAAAGATCCCAAGAGATGCTGTGAACTAAAACTTCCTGTTGACATCATAGGGAGGATACAGAGTACTTTCTCTGTATCAAACCCCATGTCCTCTACCAGAAGTCACCACCTAGCAGACCCAAAATCACCATGTGGGAGCTCTCAGGTTGCACGTCTGTGCATTTTCTGTCTGATCCCCTCCTTCCCAGTCAACAGTATATCAAAGAATTGTATTTGAGAGAGATGAAAGAATATACCATTTACAATCAGACTAACTGGAATAAACAAAATAAGCAGTAACAGCATGTTGCTCTTCAGATCCCAATTCCATTTCATAACAAGTACCATAAGTCCTTGCTTTCCTGCACACGGATAGATTAAAGATAACCTAGGGTATGTCTAAGATACAGTCACAGCACATGCAGATGTACACACATGGTTTGAATCTAGTTGGCTTAGGGCTTGATGGCAATAAAGCTTTGGGGGCACAGGCTTCAGCGTTGACTTCAATACTCCACCCCTGCATAAGTTCTCTGCAGGTGGAGTCCACTTGCCCTTGAAGTAAATATGAATATTTGTCATACTCAACATTTAATATGGAAACAATCTTTTGTAGATAAAAGAGCTTGTCTGTCCACAACTGTTCTAAAGACAGGTTTTCTTAACAGGCAAGCACAGAAAGACTTCCTTCTTCTCCTTTCTTTCCTCCATTTCCCCTACTCAGTAAATCCCCATTCTTTCTGTCCCTTTTTTGTATGTCTAGAACTGAATCTATGGCAAGACTTGTTTCATGGGAGGTTCAGAATTGTATTTGGCACTATATGATGGGTATTCTTTGTCAAAGACCATGTGGTTTTGGCCTTTTAAAGTGGTTTTGGTTTTTTAAAGTGGGCTGTTACAGATACACCTGACCCAAGTAAATTAACATTTTTTCCACTTAGTGAGGTTTTTTGGGGTCACAGTTTTAGCTAAAACCCATGTCTCTGATGAAGCAAGAAACTGAAGAACACACCCTCTGATGATAAGGATGGTTAAGCACTGAAACAAGGTACCTAGAGAAGTTATGGAATATCCATCCTTGGAAATTTTCAAGAGCAGGTTAGACTTGAATGGAATGGTTTAGTTAGGGATGATCCTTCCCTAAGCAGAGGGCTGGACTAGATGGTCTAAGATGGTCCTTTCAGTCCTCCTTTCCTATGATTCTATGCACTTATGGTGAGGCTTTAAGGAAATTACTTTCCATTACTTACAGCCTTTTGTAGCTTACAAGCTTTCCCCACCATTAGGCAAAAGAAATGGAGGGAATGGGGAATTTTGTGCTATGCATTCATAATGTGTGTGAATATTTAAACAATGGTGCACTGATTTTTGTTGAGGCCCCTAGGCACTTCTGAGATTTGAAGGGTTCATGTCCTGTCCATCCATGGAGGAAAATATCCTTTAAGTCTAGATGGCTCATTTTAAATGAAGTATAACAACTGAGAGGCCACATCCTCAGCTGGTATATGGGTATTTCTATTGGCAAGTAAAGAATTCTCTGTAGTGTGAGTAGGTCTACTCATGATGACTTTAAACTAGCTAGGGTGAATAGCAGTAATATGGTGGCCAGGGTTTCAGTACTGCCAGGATAAACGTGTCTGGGATGCTAGTTGCATACTCAGATCATTAGCCTGTACAAAGGTTTTTGCTACTGTGTCTTTGTATTGTTTCTCATGCTGCTATAGCTACATGTGCTGCAACTGCACCTTCACTTTGCTGTGTGGATGTAGGTTATGCTTACATGGCACAATCTGGGGCCATGCAGAGAGACTCAAGATAGCTTAGGTATCAAATGCTATATTGCTGCATTCTCAGCAGGATTAATTACTCCAGTCAGAGTAGCACACTAACATGGCTGTCCTGCTTCCAGTACTTGAGTTCTGACTTCGCTTGGTTAACTCTGCAGGGTACTGGATCAGGTTGTGAAGACATATGCATAGCTGTACTGAAGTCAGTGGAGCTAGACTAATTTCTACACGCTGAACGTCTAGCCCAAATCTCATTTCTCAATCTATAAGATTCTGAATCTCCTTCCCAGCAAACCAAAAGGTGTAAAAATTGTTTCTCTACCAGCATTGTATAGACTGCTACCCTCCCAGGATGAGTGTAGCTATATATTTAACTAACCAGATCTTGCATAGCTGGTTTTCAGGGTTAAGTGAACTGCCTCATTATCTTCCAGCTCTTGGTTATGTCCTGATCTCTGCTTTGGATGCCTGAGAAATTAGGGTAAATGGGCATACCTACTGCTTTTCTTCTGAGAGGGTGACTTATTTTCAAACTGAGTTTTTCCAGTGAAAATGTTACTGGGCAACATTATTTATGCTGTACGTAGAATACACAGCTTCTTATTCACTTCCCCGCCCCTTCGTTTTCTCTTTCTATGCCTTTCACCTTCCTGGCGCACAAACACATTGGTTTAAGTGCACATACGTTACCCTCTTCTGTGGTTGTTAATTCAGTTTAACTGTATTGATTTAGGTTGATCTAGACCGTGATTTTTCAACCAGTGTGCTGTGGCACCCTGGGGTGCCTTGAGATTTTTTCAAGGATGCCACAGAGTGCCACATAGTGTTAACACTGGTAGGTATACAAACATGATCCACAAGGTGAACCCTGAGTTTTCAAATAGGAACCTGTATTGTTAAAAACATTCTGACCTGTTGTGGCCTAAGTTCTTTGCAACAGAAGAATTGTTTTGTTATATTCTGTGGTCAAAAAACAAGTGAGAACTAAGACCTGGCATTCCTAAGTGGTGCCTTGAGTCTAACAAGGTGTGCCTTGAGTTTAGAAAGATTGAGAACTAGTGATCTAGACATGCAAAGGCAGGGTATATCTTGGCCATCTGTGAATGTATTTGAATTCACAGACCTGAGTTTCTGTATCTATAAATGTGCCCATTCATACACTTCCATCAACAATTGCTCTTTGTTGCTTTTCTATCCTTAGGTAGCAGAACTGATGACAGAAGTTATCATCTTAAATGGTGCCATCATGGGGTATAAAACAAGTAGGAACCATTGAGTATTGATACAGGGACGGTAAAATTAAGCTAAAAGAGAGCTGCTGTTGGTTTCATTGCAGGTAGTACTTTATTTACAGTAGTTATTTGGAAGGCAAAGATTATAATGAAAAATAAATAAAACTCTAGAAAACCAGGTCTCACAGTTTGAAAATGGTAACTGTAAAAGTCTTTTAAAGATTTCTTGTTAAGTGATGCTCATCTATACCATGAATCTGCTTCTGGGGACTACCAGAGTTACTGTAAGTTTGTCCCAGGCACTGGCAACACCCGACATACATAGTTTTGCTGTATTAGATGCTCTTGTTGAGAGCAGCCTGATGAAATGTCATACCAAATTACTTTGCACAGGAGGTTTGGCTGTAAGCAAAAATCAACACAGGTGACTGATTGGGTTCTGTTTCTTCTGGGGTCTCTTGCAGTTTCAGAAACTCTTGGCCAGATTCCATCTCCTTTTGGTTATGGGCATGGGACTGAGCAACAAATGAGGCTAGATTTTGGAGGATCTACCCTTTGTAGGATAGGCTTTGAGGAGGAAAGAAAGGCCTTGTGATAGAGTTCAGTTTGGAAGGAAACGTTGA